TTAATATTTGCGACAGAATTTTTATACAAATTCATTGTGTCTGTTATGCAAACAGAAAAAATAGTTCAAAACGAAGTCAATCTACAGCCAAAAGTATACTTCAAAAACACTTATTGATTTGACAGCAAATTCATGTGAATATTGAAAGGATTCAATTATTTGGAAATTATGAATTTTTCCGGATTCGGTATGTGTGTGTGTGTGTTATCGAAAGTCAACTAACTAGCTGTAAAACAATTTAAATTTGAATTTTAAATTATCTTACCGCAATTCGAAAGTATCGAGGTTGGGGGTTTCACTACACAAATTGCGAATGTCATGTTGCAAGTGTTATTTCCTAGATTTTACTTTGGAATAACAATGAATATTAATTAGCTTTTTCCTCCTTTTTTATTTAATTCAGCTTATTAATTTATATCTTTTGATGTATCTGATGGATGGATGTGTAAGGGAGTGAGTAGTGACAAGTTGGACTGTACAGAGTACAAAACTGTACTGTGTATTGTTTGATTTGCATTACGGTGTTGTAAAGATTGTTAAGTTACACATTTTTGAAACCATGAATCGATCAATGTTAGACCATCACCATTAGAAGAAACCTGGAAGCACTGGATGATGGCCGTTTCGTCCTGGTGTATGGGACTCACTAGTGGCAGTGAGCGCGTCCACAACTCCTGCACCCCACGGGATTCGAACCCAGGACCTTCGGTATTGTGTGCGAACGCCCTAACCATCGGACCACTGAGCCGGTATCTAAGGGTTCTATCATTCAGTGAAATATTATATGAATTTTTTAAACACTGTCTACTGTTGAGTTTGGTTTTTACGTGTGAGGAGTCATGATGTGCACAGCTGATGTAAGGGAGAGACAAGTTAGACTGTACAGAGTACAACTGTATTCTGAATTGTCAATGAATGACTGTTTGATGAACAGAGAGTTGCTACTGTTAGTGATCTAGCATTGATCATTCAAGCTCTTACTTGAAACCCTCAAGGCAAAAGGAAAAGAGTAAGGCCAAGGAACAGATTACGCCGAGAAATGGAGAAAGATATGAGAGGAATGAACCGAAAATTGGACAGAAGTGGAAAGGGAAGCCCACGACAGAGTTGGTTTGAGAAAACTGGTGGGCGGTCTATGCTCCTTTGGGGGTAACAGGCGTAAGTATGTTAGTTAGTTAGTTAGTGCCAGATGATGCGTGAGCACAGCGTACTCAATGTTTTGTCCTTATTGATTCCTTCAGTTGAACATTTTGTGAAGTCTGTTCGATTCCATTTTTGAGATGATAATATTTGTATTTTATTATAGTTCCTATTGCTTTTGCCTCACCCGAGTTTCTATGTTTCTTTCTGAACTGCATTTAGATTGTTTAAGTTGATACTTAGTCATGACGACAGCCTCCTCCTTTAATTGTGTTGCTTGCTTTTACTGGAATTGTGCATTCTGATTGTGAATTGAAGCATCCTTCCAGAAACAGGAAATATTCTGTGTTATAAAGCAACCAAATATTCTCTTACGAACGAATCTGATCTATCCACGTGGGATAGAATATCATTTATTTGTTGCTGTTGTAGATTTGATTAATTGAACAATTATTGGTGTAATAACTAAGTGGTAGGTAATATTTGTTTAGGTAATGATGTTGTATATTTATATTCATGATGAATATTAGAACCGTTATTTACCATAAATCACTTGTTTCGGATTTCAACTGGGCAATGCATATATCTAAACTACCTCTCATATATATATATATATATATATATATATATATATATATATATATATATATATATATATAGATATAGATATAGATATAGATATAGATATCATCCTACAATGAGTTACAAAATTTTATTTATCTGACCTATTTCCATTTAAAAAATACTATGAACTTCATTATGCATGAATTCAACTAAGATTTAGAATACGTTTGTACAGTTCAATTGGGTTAATTTCTAATTTCTGCATACATTTGTGTTGAATCAGCTTTTATTTTGAAATGGTCATTTAATTAACACTATGTATGTATGTGCATCCTTCATACAAAAGAGATAACTTGTTTTGAAATATTTTAATGTTAGAAAACAAGTAGCGTAAATTATTCAAGTAGGCAACCGAACTTATATCGATTATAGTATTATATCTCACGGTAAATTATCTATTTATCTTCATTCAATCTAACATGTTAGTTAGATGATGGGATGGAGTGAGGGATTAAAAAAACGGAAATTAAAACAAAAGAATTTTATAATTACTGATGAATGCGATCGGAGGTTAAATCAATAAACAACAGGAATATATGAATGTTACATATCAACAATGAATAACATTCTGACTAATGTGGTGGAGCGGGTGAGCTCACCAATTTTTTGTGGCGGTCGGTAATCGACATAATTCTTAAACTTCGTATACTCTTCCTCCTGACAACTATTACTAGATAACGCCCAACGGTGGATACAATTCAGAAGAGGAATACAAAGCGTTGATTAATGTTAATTATCACTCCACAAACAGATCATAAAACCACAGGCATACGGAGTGAAAGTGCAAATGATATGTAAGTGCCAAAAAGAGAGTAAGCGAGCGAGCGAGTGAGTGAGCTCACTGGCCCATATGCACCACAGATTTGCTGACCCGTGATCCAGTTTGGAAAAACAGTTGTATATGCTATGAAAATAAATCTCCCATTCAGTCTCCGTAGATCGTACTAGAGGTCAAATACGAATTCAGTTGGATGAGTTTATTTCTGGCAAACGTTCGTGCAGACAGAGGTGAGAATGAAAAGCATACAAACAGAACGAAGCGAAATGGAGAAGGTGAGCCAACCAACACAATGTAATAAGGTATGACTAAGCATACATAGCCAGACACACGATAGCGAAGTCAGCAGCACACACAGATACTTGAATAGAAACAATCAAGATATATAAGCGGATGGTTGGTAAGTTCGGAAGACATGTGAATATTAATTCGCATAGAATGGATTAGTTCACTTGTCTGAAGGCTTGGAACAAGCCCTGTGAACAAGCCATTAAAGTACATGCACTACACTATATTTACTTGTCATAACATATTTAGTTTCGAATATAATTCTAAAGTGAACGTATTAAGCCGAATTCGATGGGTATGATGTAATGAATTCAATTACTTACTTCCTTACGCCTGTTACCCCCAATGGAGCATAGGCCGCCCACCAGTTTTCTCCAACCAAATCTGTCCTGTGCTTCCTTCTCCAGTTCTGTCCACTTCTTGTTCATTCTTCTCATATCTTTTTCTATTTCTCGGCGTAATGTGTTCCTTGGCCTTCCTCTTTTCTTTTGCTTTGAGGGTTCCATGTGAGGACATGTCTCGTGATGCAGTTAGGTGCTTTCCGCAATGTGTGTCCTATCCACTTCCTCCGCCTCTTCTTGATTTCCTCCTACACTGGAATCTGGTTTGTTCTCTCCCACAGTACGTTGTTGCTGATCGTGTCTGGCCAACCAGTACGAAGTATTTAGCGTAGACAACTGTTCATAAACACTTGTATCATCTGGATGATGCCTTTCGTAGTTCGCCAAGTTTCCGCTCCATACAGTAGAACTGTCTTCACATTTGTATTGAAAATCCTGATTTTGGTTTTGGTTGGTTGGTTGTTTGGAGTTGCAGATATTTTTCAATTGTAGACATGCAGCCGTTGCTTTGCCGATACGCACCCTCACATCTGCATCGGATCCACCTTGATTGTCGATGCTGCCAAGATATGTGAAGGTGTTAACGTCCTCCAAGCCATCTCCATCAAGAGTGATTCGGTTGGTGCATGTTGTGTTGCATCGGAGAATTTTGCTTTTTCCTTTATGTATGTTGAGACCTACTGCTGCAGAGGCTGCTGCTACACTGGTCGTCTTCTCTTGCATTTGTTGTTGTGTGTGCGATAGAAGAGCCAGGTCATCAGCGAAGTCCAGATCGTTCATCTGCATCCTAACTGTCCAGTTGATACCGTGCTTCCCTCCAGATGTTGACGTCTTCATAATCCAGTCGATCACCAGGAGAAAGAGAATTCAATACAATTTTTTAATTATATATGGTTCGAAATGCTGCTACGTGACACTTTTGCTATTGAATTTTGTTAATTTGCTATATGTTTTCGTTTTGTATTTTACAGGTTTAAATAGATACCACACCATAAGCACAAAGATGCAATTTTCAGTTCAAATCCAAGAGTGATAGCGATAGTAGAAGTATTAGCAGTAAGTAATGGAGAATATCAGGGTTCGAAGATATAATACGAGAAGTATAATTCAGTGAGCTAAGTTTATAAAAAGAGAGAGATAAGGCTGCTAATGGCCTCGGAAGATTAGAATTTGAGAGAACACATCTAGCAGATGCACCTGCGCCATCGCAAACGATTTTGAGCCATGTCCTCCAACGTCTCCAACCATTGGCGACTTACATCTCGCGGACCGTAAACAGGTAGCCTGAATCTACCAACATATGGCTCAGTCCACTTATCAGTGACTTAATGGATTTATGCCATGTTTTGGTTTGGCCACCCCTAGCTTTCTCCCAACCTACCTCTACACAACATAACATAACTCGTCGAGTCAGTCGGTGGTTAGACATACGTACCACTTGTCCCAACCACCTCAAATGATGAAGTTGAAGACAAGCAATCTACAAATGTCCTCTACTCTCACCGTCCATATTTCGCATCCGTATAGTAGGACGGAGCGAACAGTTGTTCAGTACACTCGTCCTTTGGTTAGCAAATGGATATCTCGCCCGCGTCATAGATGATGCAACTTGGCAAAAGCCAATCGAGCTTTCTGTATCCATGCTGCGATCTCATCAGTCATCAGACTATCAGCACTGATGAGACTCCCCCAGATAAGTGAAGCGGTCAACACGTTCGACTACTTCACTTCCTATCACTAGTTCATGTATATTCTAACTGAACACATATAAGATATTGGAAATCAGATTAAGAGGGTATGGTTATTTTGTGATGCATAATACAACAACACTACTCTAAAAAGACAAGCCTTCTACAATTATAACATCCAGAGCATAACTCGACAAAATTATCCTCCTGAGTGAGCCATATATTTTTCAAAAATAAAATACAAATCCAATTACCTGAATTTATTTCCAGTATAGATTGATTGTTTCCAATTGACTTTGATACAACCACATACTCATCAGGATCAGTAGCATCAACATTCAAATTCGTTGTAACACTATTATTATTCGTTACATCATCCTCCTCGTCATTCATCTTTGACAATGACTGATTATTATTATTATTATTTACATGCCAATTAGATACAATGTAATCATCAATTTCTGCTGTATCTTTTTTAATTAATAGTAATAATTGAAAAATATGATTCAATTCATTGACATACTGTTGTTGTTGTTGGCGGCGGCCACGGCGGTCGTCGTCATTGTCGTCGTTTAATTCCATATTTTCAAGTTTCATTGAAATGCAATTTAATTTATGCTCTAATTGTAAAAGTGTAGCATAAATTAAATTGTATTTATTTGTTATTAATGATTTTTCAGCATCATCGTCGTCATCATCATCATTGACTACTACTTTAATATCATGAGTAGTATGAGTAGTTGTAGTTGAAGTAGTAGGGGAAGTAGTAATACTGGTTGTAGTATCAATTGTATTATTGCATAATGAACTTGTCATTGAATCCAATACAACAACATCATGATCATCACCACCAACACCACCACATTGGGGAGAGTGATGATAACAAGTAACATTGAGAAGTTCTGAGTCCTCAGACAGAATGGACAATTCCTCAGTTTTATTACTGATATTATTATCATCATTAGTAGTATTACTAGTAGTAGTAGTATGAACATGATCAACATTATCTGTATTGTCAACATTCAATAAACAACATTGAACAACATCCGGATTCAATGAAATTTGTTTTACCACAGTAGTAGTAGTAGTAGCAGTAGATACTTCTGATGCCATCATGTTCAATGTTTCATGTAAATCAGCAGTAATAATGTTTAATAATTGTGTACTGCATTGATTCGTCTGATCTATATGACCAGATAAAGTTTGATAAGCTGAATCATCATCATCATCATCATTATCATGACATCGATGATCCGTTGAGATTGGTGAAATTTTGTCAATCATTTGTGTAATCACAACATCATTTTCAGTATTGTCAGCACCATCAGCAGCACCGTCAGCACCGTCAACATCTTCTTCATAGGCGGTAGTTGAATTGATCACATCATCCAGTTGTGATGTGTTAGTAATACTGACATTCGGATTCATGCAAGAAGATATCATCAATTCAGAATGAGTCGCCTGATGCAATGAAATGTTTGATTGTTCTAAATTGATTGAATTCGGTGATGTATTGAGTTGACCTTGCCAGATAATAAACACATCACATTTACTCTTATTGAAATCATCTTCATCAACATCATCATCATCATCGTCTGTAACACTGATGATGCTTGAGATTGTTTTATTATCAACTACTAAACAGATGGGGATCACATGTTGTTTAAACCTATAAATAAAAGAAAATGAAAATCGGGATTTTTCGAGTGAATACAAAAATTTTTATGAAACTTTAAAGCTCGGAAGTAAGGACAACATAATTCAGACAGACATACAAGAGGAAGGAGCTTAAATCAAAAATGCCTGTCGGTTTACAGTCAGTCAGTCAATCAGATGCAACGTAGAAAGAACTTCGTACATAAGTACATCAGTTCATGTCGCCATACCACATCAGCACAGAGATGTAATTGTCAATTCAAATCCAATAGTAGAAGAGGTAGTAAGGGTATTAGAAGATATTATTCAACATGTATGATTCAGTGAGAAAAGTTTAGAAAGTCAAAACTAGAGGTGTTGAGGAATCCAGAAGATTAGGATTTGAGAGAACACAAAGAATAAATACACTGGCGGTACTGCAAACGATTTCGAGCCATGTCATTCAAGGTCTTTAACCATCGATTATTATCATCTCGCGGACCCCAACCAGGTAGTCGACAATTACCGACATGGCTAAGTCCACTCGTCAATGACTTCATGTATTTCTGTCATGTTTTGGTTTGGCCGCCCCTAACATTCTTCCAACCTACTCCTACACTACAAAACAAAGCTCGTCGAGGCAGTCGGTGGTTAGGCATACGCGACACATGTCCCAACCACCTCAACTGATGAAGTTTCAATACTTCATCTATTGATTTGCCATTCTTACCTAGCACCCGTTTCCTATTAATAGCGTTGCTTACTCGGTTGTCCCACGATATACGAGCAATGCTTCGAAGACACCTATGATCGCAAACCAATAACCGACGAATATCTTCTACTCTCACTGGCCACGTTTCACAGCCATAAAGTAAGACGGAGCGAACTTTTGCGCAGTACACTCGTCGTTTAGTCAGCAAACGGATATCTCGCCTATGTCATAAGTGACGCAAGTTGGCAAAAGCCAATCGAGCTTTCTGTATCCGTGCTGAGATTTCATCAATCACTTGGCCATCAGCACTGATGAGACTCCCAAGATAAGTGAGGTGGTCTACACGCTCGACTACTTCACTCCCTATCACTAGTTCAGGTGCCGATGAAACCCAATCTTGAACTAGTGATAGGGAGTGAAGTGTAGACCGCTTCACTTACAGTTGAAAATTATGTACTAGTTGATGGAGAGAGTGTGCATAGAGTTTAGTGATCTCGGGGGATCTGACGAATGGTTACGGGAATGAAATAAATCTTCCATTGAATTTCTGAATATTACTCTCTTAGGAGGAGAATTCAATGTGTACAACAGTGGTAGAGTAATGAGAGAATCCCTAATACAGTTTCGGTCGGATGAATTGATTTCATATACTCGCGTATACATATAGACATAAAATTGAGTAGGGTGAAACTAAAGCAGAGAAGGTGAGTAGGCCAACTACAGTTGATGAAACGTGACCAATCTTAGATCGACCAGACTTAGACACCATCACCTAGCTTTTACTTTTAAAGTTTATTTGACCAGATTCTACTTCTTTAATGATATCGTCAAAACCCTAAAATTTTCGATTACTGCTAATACTTCTACCATCTCTACTATTATGGGATTCGAAGTGACAATTGCATCTCTGTGCTAATGTCGTATGGTAACTTCAACTGATGTACGTACGCACAAAGTTATTGGTTGTTATTGACTGACTGACTGCCTGACACCTCTGGATGGTGCCTTATTGGTCTAGAGGTTAAGCATTCGAGCGCAAGACCGAAGGTAATGCGTCCTTCAATTTCTGAGTGTATTAATAGAACTTATTCAGTTACAAACCAGTGAAGGTATGTTTACAAGATTCCCATCACCAATGAATAACAATTTATCCAATCAACGTTGAAAATCATGACTAAATGACTAAACTTTACGCGACACAAATCGATTACATCGTCCTAAAAAACTATTCAAAAAAAATAATTAATTGACGTTTACTCAACCTCTCTCTCTCTCTCTATTACATACACACTGTTAAGCAATTTTCACCAAATCAATATTTCACTTTGATTTCACATCGCTAACAAACATCAACTTATATAAAATTACATCATTCAATATATCTCATTTGCCTAATCGATAAAGTAGAGTGGTGCGCGCTACTTATAAGTAGTATATGACGCGAGTGACAACGTAATGTCTGGCATCAGAAGATGGGGGAAGATCCAGAAAGGAAGAGTTAGAAAACAATGGGATTTGTATGAAATGCATGAATAAGTGAAATGTCAGACATTGGATTGAAGATTTGCAAATTAACCGTTTACGATATGGTTTTCCTATTTTACTGAGTAACTCTGTAATTTTCGTTGAATACAATTCGGTTGCCCTCACCTGTGGTCTCCTTCAGTACAGTAGTAGTAGAGAAATTTACGAGTACAATTCTAAAAACACACATGCATACACATACTTAGTAAATTAAACTGTGAATCCATAGAAATATTCAAAAACATAACAATAATAAATTGACTAGGAGTTTGACAAAAAGTTTAATTTAAGTGTACAGAGTTTATAATAAATGATCAGGAGGAAATTAATGCAGTGTATATATTATATATACATGGCATTTCAAAGATCAGTGTGATTGAAAATAATACTTTCAAATTACTGGGTTGTGAAGATTGTTAAGTTACACATTTTTGAAACCATGAATCGATCAATGTTAGACCATCACCATTAGAAACCTGGAAGCACTGGACGATGGCCGTTTCGTCCTGGTATGGGACTCCTCAGCAGTGCTCATCCACGATCCCTGCACTCCGCAGGATTAGAACCCTTCGTCATTGTGTGCGAACGCCTAACAATCGGACCACTGAGCCGGTATCTAACGGTGTTAATGTCTAACACAGAGTTGCGCAACCTCATACACAGTCTTCGGTAGTTACTGTCTACACCCGAACAGGTTGAACTTCACTGGTCACGTCTTCCCACTAGAACTCGGAGAAGATTCCTCACCAAGCAAGTCACTAGTGAGCACAGGTAATTTGCACTACGGGGTTGTGAAGATTGTTAAGTTACACATACCAGGACGAAACAGCAGTCCAGTGCTTCCAGGTTTCTAATGGTGATCTAACATTGATCGATTCATGGTTTCAAAAATGTGTAATAATACTTTCATCAAGCCATATGAAGAGTACTTTCTCTTGATTGTCTGAAATAGCGAAATTTCACTGTATGTGGTAAAAAGTGATGAAGTCATTTAAAATCGGAGTATTATAATGATGAATCGTTTGAGAGAATTATATGAATATATATGATGATGAATCGTTTGAGAGAATTATGTGATTATAGTTGTGGATAGACATTAATAGAAACATTAAAATACTGTGGGCTGAAGACCCAAAAGGAACAGATTACGCCAAGAATTGGAGACAGACATTTAAAAAATGAATAGCCTATGAGTAGAATAAGAAAGGAAGGTACAAGGCAGAAAAGGTTGAAGAATGCTGGTCGGTGTCTTATCATCCATCCATTAAGGGTGACACAGGTCTAAGTAAGTAAGTACATCACTTATTTTTGCTGCCAAGAAGAGAATACACAATACAGACTGTCAGTAGACGAAAACGTACTTTCTCTTGATTGTCTGAAATAGCGAAATTTCACTGTATGTGGTAAAAAGTGATGAAGTCATTTAAAATCGGAGTATTATAATGATGAATCGTTTGAGAGAATTATATGAATATAGTTGTGGATAGACATTAATAGAAACATTAAAATACTGTGGGCTGAAGACCCAAAAGGAACAGATTACGCCAAGAATTGGAGACAGACATTTAAAAAATGAATAGCCTATGAGTAGAATAAGAAAGGAAGGTACAAGGCAGAAAAGGTTGAAGAATGCTGATCGGTGACCTATCATCCTTCATTATGGGATAACAGGCCTAAGTAAGTAAGTATATCACTTATGTGTGTTTCGAAGGAGAGAATACACAATACAGACTGTCTGTAGACGAAAACGTATAAATTCAGTATTATGGTAATATGGAAGAAGTGCTGTCATTCACAATTCACTCAATCAAGAAGATGATCGATCGATAATATTTGTTTACTTATTGGATCCAGTCAGTCAGTTAGTTACAACGTAAAACTTCCTTCGTACGTAAGTACGTCAGTTCAGGTTCCCATACCACATTAGCACAGCGATACACCTGTCAATTCAAATCCCACAGTAGTAGGAGATAGTAGAAGTATTAGCAGTAATGGAGAAGATATTATTCAAAAGTATAATTTAGTGAGATAACTTTAAAAAGAGAAAGATAGAGGTGATGAGGAATTCAGAAGTTTAAGAATGTCAGGGAACAACAACACAAAGAGTGATGAATGCAGCTGCACCATTTGCAAACA